AGGATGTGTGAAGCTCTTCGGACAACCGACGGGGTAGCAACATCTCTGGGCCTCACCCGGAACAGGAACTTCCCTGCGTTGTTCCCGCCGGTCACCTCAACGGCGGCAACAGTCCGACCGGACTGACACGACGGAACAACGGAGCAGCAAGGGATGCGACTGGTCACTATGTGCTTGCAATTTGCTTGGGGCAGAGAAAAAGACCAGTAGTAAACGATACTTAAGGTTTCATGCTGTTTTTGCAACTTCGAATGCCCCTGGCTTTTGGAATGATCATGTATCAAGTCTTCACTTGTTCACACCCCACCTGGATGTTCTCCACCTTCACTTCCACCACGCGGTTGGTGGCTTCCAAGGAACCTCGCTAGATGTGTTTTGATGCCCCTTCAGACCCTTCAGTGACACAGTTCTGCATCTTCTGAGTTCCTTTTCAGCAAATCATCCTTCAGGGTGTCAACCAGGGGTCAACGTGGGCTTATCCGGTCTTGTCCAGAGATTGACCGCCCGCCTCCCCTGTGTGGTCTAGTGTTCAAAGCTCTGAAGGTGGGTCTCTCAATCCCTTGCGGTTGGCTAAAGCTACCTGCACAACGAAACCAACCGCTCCACCCCGCCTGCGCGCTGGAAGGCCTGTGTGAGCCTAACACAAGCTGCGACAAAATCAGCTTGACCCATCTCCATGAAATTGCCCTCCCCATGCAACCTGAGGGAAACCCTGTTCGGTGTGCCGCGACAAAGTCAGGCTTTATGATGATGGCTTAATGCAGGGCTGGCCAATCCTAATCCATGCCAATTGCCGATAAGGAAAGGACTTCAAAAGGGGGGACCCTTTCGTGACCCAAAGAACGAAGGATTGCCTTTGAACTGCCTAGATTTTGACACATTGACATCCCTGGGGAAAGTGCAAAGCAACTGTGACAAAGCATGCGGTCAAGGATGGATTGCTGCCCCTCACCTCCTTTCCTCATTTTGAATGTTGCAACAATCTTTCGGCTATTGCCACGTGCCCCAGATTCCCCCTCTTCCACTGTCTGTCCTTGATGTTTCCCCTGCCAAAGGGAAGCTCTATAAAACGGCAACCAAAAGGTGGTTTTCCAAAAAAAGTCCTATCCGGAGGCCTCTACCAGACACCTCCTTTCTTCCCGCTGCTCAACTCTTCACAAGGCCAAGTGGGCCCCCTGCCATTTCGGCCCAAAGTCTTCCAGCATCTGCGAGGTCCTCATCGCAGAGGAGGGCGCACGAATTTGACAACAAAAAGCATGAGGGAAAACACCCCGAAGGGAAGGAATCGCCGCTTTAGGCAGTATTTTTGTTCGTTTTGCCCTTTGGACGCATTTGACTTCCTTCCAAAAAGGTCATAAGTCAATGCCAATCTTCCCCACTCTGGCCACACTCAACCTCATCTGAGGCCGGGGCCAGGGGAACTCCAGTCCATAAAACCTGAATCGAAACCGCCGTCGGTTGCATCTGCACCACTTGTCGAGTCTAACAGCGAGAACCTGTCCTCACTGCTCAAAGATTGAATGCAAGGCCCGCACATGCCCGGGGACTTCTTCGAATGCTTGGTCAGCACGTCGTCCAATGAAACCGGACGCCAGAGCACCGCCGCCCTCTTTCTTTCGCCCTGCCCCAGCCAGCCAGCCAGCCAGCCAGCCAGCCAAATGCATTGCATCATCACTAAGTTTGGTGGTTTGGACTGATGCCTTGCATATTTGAGCCTCATAGGAATGAGCCAGCAGAGCAATCATCCCCTGACCTCCAAACCGCCAATACAAACCACAAAATAAGGCAAGGCTCATTGCATCCATGTCCGCACGGAGAATGGAACCCAAACAACGAGCCGGCCTAGTACTGCTTTTTCGGCAATCAGTGCAAATGAGCATTTTGTGGAAAGTGTACGTTTTCTGGGCTTGTTTCCAAGAAGGCTCCAGAATCTAGTGCCGCGACCCCAAGAACCAGGTCATCGATGCAGGCCTCGCATCTGTTCTCCAGCTCCTTGATCATGGCCTGCAGTGCAAGGGAACGGACCAAGAACAATGTGGGTATGTGTCAAGCTAAGGGGGACTCTGACAATGGTGATTTCCTTTGGTTTGCCTTTCAGGCAGTCCAAAAACGGGCAAAAACACCTTGGAAATTGCCTAGTGTCTCCCCTGCTGTCCGTGAAACTGCGGGGGTCCACCCCACATCCCACTACCAACAGAGCTCAAAGTGATTCTCAGTTGGGAAGCTTTGAATTGCTGAACATTCAAAACAGGGCATCAAGGAAGTCTATCTGAAACTTCCGCCAAACTTTCAAGCAGACCGCTGCAGCTTCGGGTGGAAGTGCATATTTGCTCTGTGTGTCAGGCGCAACCTGGAGTATTCTGCACCTTGTTTCGTACACCCCCATTGCTCAAAATGTATGGAAACCAGGGACTACAACCTTGCACCAAATTGCCCTCACCCAGGTTTTTGGAAGCTGCTTTCCAGCCCCCAACGCCCAGCCGTGAGCCCACGCCTCCTCCTCCTGCTTTGCAGCCTCCTGCCTCTTCAGCACATCCGCTACAGACTCCTGGACCGCCTGCCATGCGGCTCAGGAAGCGCGACCCATGGGGCCCGACAGAACATCCGGAGTCGAAAACCGCCCAAGAGGATGGGGCTTCCCAGTCCTTGGCCCAAAAAGAACCTTGACCATTGGAGTCTAAGCCAAGGGGAACGTAGATTCGTTCTGCGCTAGTATGCAGGTGCTTTCCCAATGCTTGCACGCACAAAAACACTGTAAAACCCTGCCTGGCAGCTGACAGATACTCAAAACCCCCAAACCAACCTTTGACCCAGTCTCAAGGAATGCAGAGGCTGACCCAAGCGCGGAGACTTTGATTTCTCTTCGCCGCCATATAGCAGGCCTGATCGGCATAAAAAGACTCGAGCCGATTACTTCAGGCAAGGTTTGTGGGCAAAACCTTGACTGCCATGCCAGTTGGCCAGGGTTGTCCAGATTACCCCCCCTGATATATCTCCCCCTCTTCGAAATCTGAGTTCCGGGCCACCTTCCGCTCCGAGGCAGTGAAGTCCTGATTGCCAAGTGCTTGGCTTCCTCTTGTCCCGTAGCAAAGCCTTTCACCCTATCTCGAGCTATCGTCGAAGAAAATTGCTGAGCTAGGAAATACCCGAACATCGGCCCAACAAAAGCAGACATCACATGCCCAATCGGTGGGCTGTTGTCTGAAGTGGAAATGCCTAAACCGAGATTCCCCGCCGATCGACGACATTTCTTCAGGTGCGCTTGAAATGGTTTTTAACAGTTAGCCTGGTGGGAGTAGCTGCTGTTGGTGAAAATATTCAAGTACTGTAAGAAGGTTGGCCACCAATTTAGGCAAATTCCGGTTTGAGTTGGCAGTGGGGCTGCGGATTGCGTCCTTCTCTTCAAGGGGGGGGCTCCCGTTTCAGGACACCTCCAAGCCAGAAAAGCGCGTTGCGGTTGTCGTGACTTGGGTCGTGTCTCCTTTCCATCAGAATACCCCAGCCGCACAATGGGCGGAAATGCAAAAATATCTGGCCTGTGCAGAATGACGACACGCTGCCGAGCTGCGTGGAGACAATCAAAAAGATTTGGTGCTGCCGAAAGTAATAAGACCATCCGCGTGACCTGAGGATGAGACCCGCAGTGGGCCCAAGAAGAGTCATGAACTGCATGGTGTAGGTCTGCGTAGATTCCCCTGCAAAGGCGCCTTCGAAAACAGGACTAGCAGGGCACGACAGACCAACGCCTCACACAGTCGACTGTTGCGCTTGCTGTCAAAAAGCTGAGAAACAAGGTTGCTGCCAGTCAGCTGGGAAGATGATCCGGGTGCATAGGAACGAGCCTATACGCGTCGGGCGAGTCTTCGCCAGTACTAAGGGGCGTGCAATCCGAAGCTGAACATCTTGCGAGGGCCATGGACAATGTCTGGCATTTACAGAGTCATTCCTGTAAACCTTCACGTGTTTGGCCTACTCGTCAAGTTTGCTGCCTGGCCGCGTAGGATTGTCGGGCGCAAGTCATAAAATACGGATTGACATACCAAGAGTAAAATATGTGTAAACCAAAAACGACTGAATCAGCTTCAGCAAGCCGGCACCGTTTTCTCCACCAGCCCGCCGATCCCTGGGCACAGCCGCGGACACGCGTCGCACGCCTGATGCCATCACAACATCGGACCCGGTCACCAAAGACATCCTCTGTGGAGGCCACCAAACGGATAGGATCAACGGGTGTGGATCGCAACAGAGCACGCCTCCCATCCGAAAATCTGTGCAAATGCTGGCCTGCCAACACACAAGCATGAGAAAAACAACAAATGCTGGCCTGCCAACACACAAGCATGAGAAAAACAATCAAACAAACAAAAAAGCAATCAAGCAAGCAAAACAAACAAGCAAGAAAGAAAACAGGCACGCTCTCGGCTCCTTCCACTGCTTCTGCGGCATCTCTAGCACACTCATCTTGGAGCAGTTCAAATTGCCCAGGTGGAAGAAGGTGGTGTCCCCTGTAGAGGTGTACACGCGAGGTCCGAACTCTGGGTCCTGGGCTGGGAGCGCAGGTTCTTTCAGGAAGGGGCTGTTTGCTGATAAAAAGCTACGAAACCAACAGAATCTTCACATCAACCGATTTGGGTTCGTTTCGGTGGCTTCCAATCAAACGGATTCAACCCGGGTGACGAGCGGAAAGGATTTGAGTCGCACCCGAGGCGGCGGCCACTTCCAGAACCTCCTCCCGGTCCCCCAGCGCCACGGGAACGATGCCGCTGACCCGCGCCCAGTCGGGCTCCTCCCGCACCGCCTCAGTTTCTTTGGCCAAATTCCTGCAGAAAATCCTGTAGCTGGCTTCTTTCACTATTGCCGAAGCCGCCGATCCCACAGCGACTAGTGCCTTTTGCCTGAGCCTCCTGAGGGTCTACTGCAAGAAGGTGCTTGGGGGGGGGTTCAAACAACCGTAAGAGTCATAACCAAACCCAGTCTGAATCAAAGGAGTCGCTCTGCAAGGATCCATAGACGTGACACCGCACGTATGTATGGTTGACCCGGATTTTTTGGTTTTGGCTCACCTGGGACGCCATGCAACCTCCCCGCTGTCGAAAACAAGGGCATGCGAAAGAGCATACAAGTCTCTTGACAGCCTGAAAGAACTGCACCGAGAAGAGCCTCAAACATTGGGCAAAACACCACGATTCAGAGCCCGGAAGTCCTATCAATCCAATTCCCCCGACCAGCCTCGCCCCTGGCGAGCTGGCTGCCAAGGCCTCACTCAAAGGCTTTGACCCAACAGCGCATGGGAGGGCTAAGAAACGGGTCCCAAAAAAACTCGTTAGACACCACTCTTGTATAGTCAAGAGGAATCTAGAGGAAACCGTCTGCGACCGTTCAATTCCTGTTCAGGGGCACACCCACACATCAACCGAGAGTTCCTTACAAGACGATCTTTAATGCGCCTTGTCAATTTCAATGAGAACCACGGATCTCGAAAATCATTGGGAAGAAATCAACTCACGTTTTGCCCGGTCTGAACCAAAAGCGCCTCGTGTGCGGCTGGGGCTGCGGCCACGCGGCGCACGGCGCTTGGGAAGGCCAAAACTCATCGAAGCGACCATGGCGCAGGGCGAACGCAAAATAGATGCAGCGTCGACCGTGCTGAGAAAGTGTGCCCTACCTTCGTAGGGCCATAGGGTTGCCTCTCCTTGCTATGCTGCGTCGCAGTGGTTATGTGTGTGTGTATTCTCTCCTGTTGTAGTGGCTGACAGGGCCCAGCGTTGTTGGGGTTCCCATGACCTTGCGATTTAAAGCTGCCAACAAGCCATCACATTCCATACCAAAAATGAATCTCATGGTATGCGGTTGCGCCAAAATCAAACAGAAGACTGTATTTCAAGCCCAACTCGCCAATCCAAGAAGGTGACAATCCGTTGGAGGAACCCTTGACACATTTGAGCTGAGGCCTCGGCCCAGCTCCGGCCCAGGCCTAAAGCTGAAATGCCACAACACGACGCCAGGGCACATAGTCAAAACACAAGGAAGCGCAAGCTCCCGTGGCCAACGATCCTTCCCGCCTCGGGGCTCGCGGCGGAGAGCCTAACCGCGCGGCAGGCGGCTCGCCTCGCGACAAAGACGAAATCAAGAAACACAGCAGACCTTCAAAACGCCCGCCTTCAAAACATTTGCAGTGCTCCATCTTTAACTACTCTGCTTCGAGATTCGCACATTGCTGATGTGCGCAAGTGGCGAACACCCAGCCCGCCTGGAGCCAACGCGCAGGCGGCTGGGACCTGGCCAGGCTCGGTTTGCTCACGACCCCGAAGAATCAGCCAGCTTGTAAGAGAGAGCATGCAGGAACCCCAAGAGGACAGAAAGGTAAGCAGAGCAAAAGGCCAAAAGAGCCTTTTAGAAGAAAAAGCCCAGAGCCAAAAGGCCAAAAATGATAAGCCAAGTCTGGCAATGCAAAGAGCTCCTTGCCTTTTGGGTTCTCCATGCCCCGCCTCCGGGCCGGTGCGCGCGCCGGACCTGGCGCCACATGGGACGAAACATATGGGCCCAACCCCTATGTCCAGGCCCAATACGAACAAAGGAAAGTCAAACCTGGGAAAGTTGGCTCAACAATTAAAACAAAAGCAAACAAAAAAACGTCCCAAAGGAGGGCACGGGTACAGTCCTCAAATCCCGAGGAAACTTGTTCAGCTTTTAGCACCGGTTGCAAAAAGAAGCCTCGAGGTACTTAAGATGTGAAAGATCGGGCTAAAACCTGCAAATATTGCATCTCTCCTACCAAGCTGCTTGCAAAGGTTTATACAGGGGTATCGGAACCCACTACATAAATAGCCAACAGGCTTGAAGTGTGCAATGAGAATTGTGCCATCCATGCCGCCCACCCCGCCTGTCGCGAAACTGCCGATAGCTCTCCGGGAGGGGAGTGATCATCGGACTGAACAAGGGCAACCTGGGCCCGCTCAAACTCATTGATGTTGGGTGCCACCACAATGCTTCTGAAAGCAGGCAAGCCCCCTTTGTTGTTGGTGTTTCAACCAAAACCAAAAAGGAAACGAAACATTGTTCCCTTCTCCACTTTGGAAACACCTTTAGAGTAGACACAGAGTAGGTTCCCCAGGCCCACTGAGGGTTTCGGGGATGCTCCTCCCTGCCCAAACTTGGCGCGCGACTTCCAGTTAGCCTGCGGGTGAGACCTCTGGCAGCTTCGGATACGAATCCCTCCCTGGGGAGTGGCTGCTTCGTGACGGCTTCGTGAAAGCAGTTCTTGCATGAGTAAACGGCTGGCCAATCCAAACTACAAAGGGACCCGGAAGGATTGGCAGTTGCCTTTGAACAGCCCCGAGTCATGGGGGAGAGTGTCCAAACCATTGGGCACGGACCCCTTCCGAGGCGTGCTCAACACACCAGCGAGAAGACCAACCACAGTCTTGCATGTTTCGCCCAAGCTCCCAGCTCCCGGTCCGAGAAGTGCAAAACGTCCTTGGCAGTCGAAGCTGCTAGCGTGTACACGGGTGGAACCCCGCTGGGCAACTCTGTTAAGAGGAGGGAAACCATGTTTCATCCATTTTGAGGTGCGACTGGTTGCGATTTGCTCCCAAACACATGTTTCTCTTGAGTTGGCTGCTGATGTAAATGTCCCTCACAGCGCTTCCAGCGGCAACAAGAAAATGCGCCAAAGTTTCCCGAGGCAAAGCTCCAGATTCCAAAGCCCCCGAACTTTGGCGGAAGCCGCTGAGGCACATCGCTGGGCGCCGAGCCACCGGAGCTCGATGGAGCGGCTCCTGGCTGGGTCAAGACAAATGCCGGCTCGTTGCTCCCAGCTTCCATTGGAAAAAAAGATATGAACCTGAATATAAAATAATATAAATCCTTGTGATGTCCTCTGTAGAGGGGCTTGTTGATTGAACCACATTGGTCACACCTCGTTTTGGTGATTTGGACCCTCGCGCTTACTTCAAACGCGAAATCACTTACTCCACTCACAAGCAAAAAGATGCGAGTCGGACTGGGACCCGCCGACGTTGAGAAGCTCAAAGATCACCTTGTTCAACACCACTGAAAAAAGGCAGCAACACAGCTTGCTCATTTCTGATACAGCCACTTGCCCAACACAGATCGTACACGCTGCAAAACTGTCTTACACAGGCTCACTTACACTTTGCTCACGTGTACCAACGCAAATAGCTCGCGAAGCGCTGCGCCATGGGCCAAAAATACGCGCGCGAAGAGAAGTCTCACTCCCAGGCCAAACACTTCCCACCCGCTCGCAGCTCGCTACACCACAGCCAAACCGGCCGAAGGCCTCCCGTGCCGAAGGTGCTCTGCCAGGTATCGACCTCCGGGAGCTTTCAGCTGCAGGCGGAAGTGGTCAAACATCAGAACTCCGCTCGGTGGCTGGTGTTTGAAGGGAAAGGTCTCTGTTGTTGCAAACATCCAAGCTCCCCGAAAACAAACAACTTGTGACTTGTGTGCACTTTTGAGATTGCCCCTGCATTTTTCCACAGGGTCGGCGTGACATCTCACCAAACGACAAATTGGTGGGGTCACAACCAAACTGTAGAAGCCCCAAGCACACGGGCCGTTTGGCAAAGGCACACATTGGCAGGTGTACAAAATACGGAGCGTTCCCCATATAGGACAGCCTTTGCTTTGGCATTTCATTTTCATGATTCTCGCCACCCGCGACGAGGGAATCTGCTTGGTTGATGTGCTAACAAAGCCCAACTGCAGTTGCAAGGACCCCATTGACGCATCCGATGCTGTTGAAACCTGGTTCATGTCATGTTTGCCAGCTGTCCTTCAAGAAGGAACCTCCACTTCCCTTGAGGACCCAACACCATATTCAACATTCCGGACCCCCTGATCAAATTGTGCGGGTCTATCCCAGAGCCCGCCTCTCTGAGTCACCTGCACGGGGCTCAGATTCCAGCATGGCAAATCAAGTCAAACAGGGTCAACAATACACGTTGGCCCATTCAAACAAACGAGCCCATTTGCTGATGATGAACAACTGGCATTCTTTGAGTCAACCAGAATGAAAAGACTCAAAGGGCGGGGCTCACCTGTTCATAGTTGGGATCGACCCACGAACCTTCTCAACTGCCCAGGTTTCGCGTGTAGCGTATTGTGGTGCCATATGGCGACATTTGATTAAAACTTCTATTTGGATGACTCTTTTCGTTCCTATAGAGAGCGCAGCCAAGATGCGACCTGACGCTCAGCCCGCGGCTCACGCCGTGGCCGCTGGCTGCCAGTGACCCAGCCTGCCCGGCCCGATTCCAAGCCCGAGCAAAACTCAGAGTCTTCATAGGGCTGTTCAGGAAGGAAATCGTTCCACTTTTAGACCTTGTGCCGGTTGCTTTGCCCTTGAAAAGGGGTCTACTTGCCACCCACGCCCTCAATCCAGTTGTCGCTGAGCCCCGCACGCTGGCAGTGCGGGAGAGGTAGGGCCTGGACGCCAAGGAGTTTGTATCGCAAGAGAGCTGTACGGGAGCGGCGCCTCTGCGCCCCACCTGGCAAAGGAAGCCACGTGGGATCGTTGGCTGCTTGCTTGGTCGTTCGTCTTTGGACGGGCTGAGAGCCCTCAACCATCCTTCAAGCCACAGAATCGTCGCTCGCGCCTGGGTTAAGCTGCATGCGACTCAGCTCCGCCACTCCCGTGATCAAGTTTGAGACGCTGCCTCGGAGCACATCCCGTCTAGGCAAAACAAGGTCAAGGTGAAACACACCGGAAATACGCGATGTTTTTGAAAGGTCACTCTTAGACTATGCCTCAAAAGTTGCAAGTTAGTGAGGCAAAGCGAAGATCCCCTCATGAAGCGGCAAAACAAGCCGGACTCCCCGACTCCCCCCAGCCCGAGCGCCGCGCTAGGTCGCTGCTTTCCACCCTTTCGCGCCTGCCGATTTGCCAACTTGCTTCGCCCATCCGAATGGCTGCCTCGCAACAGCCTAAAGGAGCTGAAATGGTTCCTTCCAAAAAGAGTGGCGGATTGTTCCGACAATCAGCCTCAAGCTGCGTAACACTGCCATGCAGCATACTACTGACTACCCAGCCGAGCCAACGCTCCCTTCTGCCCAGCCTACAAAAGGACAAGCTAAAATTCATTCTGTTTAGGAAGTCTTTCTCCATTTGTGCAAAGCGCCGAGGGCGGGCATCTTCTCCCGCGCCTTGCACCTCGGTCCCCGCGCCTGAAGCAGCTTCGTCTCGGTCCACAGCTCGCTCAGCTGATTGGACTGGTGCTTGATGGTGTGGCACAGGCCCCTGGAATGCCCAAAAAATCGCATCGTAAACTGAGCTTACCAACATCTGAAGCATCAAGCACGGGCGACCCATATTATGTTTCAAGGCAAAGCTGCATGTTCACGCTGGGATTTCTGCCAAAAACACCGCATTGAACTCTCTTGGTTTGCCAGGGTGGAAACTTGAGTTGAACCAAAGCAGGATCAACGCATAGGTGCCACTGTGCTAGCTGTTTCTCCCCCTCTCTCTCTCTCTCTCGCTCTCTCTCTCTCTCTCTGTGTCTGCGTGGCCATTGAAAAGACACCAACAGGAGAAGCGAAATTCTACACCAACAGCGGGCCATGGTGCACTGGCGCACCGACCTGATTC